AAATTTTATCGAAAATTGAAGAAGCATCTGCCAGATATTCTTGCCGAGATTCATACAACAATTCATTGAGACTATATAAATTATTTCTATACCGAAGGAAGCCCAATGCGAATTTTCCAAGTTTTTTCACGGGATACCTGCATATGTCCCATAAACGTTTGCGACTCGTCCACTGCGTCCTCGTGCTCAAGTAGCTTTTAGAGGTGGCATATAATTAGTAAGTTTAAGTATGAATCCAACGATCAAAAAACTACTGGATARCATAAATACTTTAGGAAGAGAACTAGAAAAAGGCWCTGGAAGTAGCRCAGAATCTGCTTCGAATAAAAATGTCGAAGCAGAACTTTTACAAAGGTTTAGAAATTCCCCTGGTGGCTCTGCTTCTGCAGTCAATGCGGCCCACAGTACTGTGCCCTGTGAAACAAGTTCTACCAGTACCAGCTTAAACAAGCTTACAAATGCTCCAAGATTTGCCCTGGGTTACAACTTCTCGAAAAGGCAAAAGCGAAAAGACACCAGTAAAACCGCAACAGGGAGTTTTATCAAAGATGTGATTTTGCTAGGAGGCCCGGAGGATGATAAGGTACCACGCCAGGGTTTGCGGGTCCTCTTATCAGAGAATAATCACATTGTGTCTGGAGCTACCCTTAGAAAAGAGTGGGGATTTCCAACCGTCATTGACTATCTAAAAAGCTTGTTTCCTTCAAAACTTGGCGAATTCGATGAAATAACCATTCTTATGCCAGTACACTCCAAACTCCTTGAGCCCAACCTACCCCCTGGTCAACAACTGTCTGGGTTTATGATACAAAAAGTCTTCAAAGATAGGCCAGTATACATAAGACCACACAAACGTATATTGACCTTGGATGAATATCTTCCAAAAAAGAAAAGAAAGCTGGAGGTAAACAAAGCTTTTTGCATTGTCTTTTGCTATATATACKTAYACACTTCTATAGTTATATAATATATATTGAAACACATAATTTATTTTTAATAAAGTYTGCTTCAAGTGATGAAGATTCTGGAGATGATCTCAATAACAAATCTACATTTGAAGTAACCACAGGTAGGTGATGTAGATGTTAGGTATAGTGTTAGGAAGTTGTATTGCATTACAAACCAAATTATGTGTTAAGGATTCACAAAATACAATATGTAATAAAATGTGMAAAGCTATTTTCTGTGAGACAACACATCTCAATTTCTATCCCATGCACTAAAGAAGCAAAACATTAAAGCAAAGCAAAACTAAAGCCACTAAAAAAATACAGGGCTGAGGGGTGCAATCTAAATAAATAAAATATCTAATGCTTAGAAACTTATGTTTAGGTGTCACCAGCAATCAGGCACAGACTGATATGACGATTTCTGGAAACATGATACAAGGTACAATATTTATTACTCATGAAAATGATTTTTTTTTTCTCATAAGGGGTGCTATGTTATTATATACTAATGCAGTGTAAACTTATGTTAAGATGTCAGCAACAATCAAGAACAGACTGATACAAAGGCCTCTGGGAAAAACTCACAAGGTATGAATGGATGCTCATGAATTTGAATATCTTTTGGAAGGAGTACATTCTCACGACACATCTTATAAATGCAGTGTGTGAACTTATGTTTAGGTGTCAGAACCAGTCAGAAACAGAGTGATGCAAAGACTTCTGAAAACAACTCACAAGGTGAAATTGCCCATGAAAATGAATAATTTTTCTAAGGAGTGCATTCACTGTCTTTAGAGTGATTGAAAGCCTATTAAACAGACAACTACAGCAACTTAATTTTCAACATAGTCTATTATAGTATGAATTAAACTATGTGAATTGGTATTTTAATGTAGTTGTAAAGGATTTAATAAAGAGATATGGAGAAGGTGTGGTCTTTTCAAAGAAATGTCCAACTTGTACATATGAAGATGATAGACTTTTCTCTGCTGGTGTCCATNTGATGAAGATTCTGGAGATGATCTCAATAACAAATCTACATTTGAAGTAACCACAGGTAGGTGATGTAGATGTTAGGTATAGTGTTAGGAAGTTGTATTGCATTACAAACCAAATTATGTGTTAAGGATTCACAAAATACAATATGTAATAAAATGTGCAAAGCTATTTTCTGTGAGACAACACATCTCAATTTCTATCCCATGCACTAAAGAAGCAAAACATTAAAGCAAAGCAAAACTAAAGCCACTAAAAAAATACAGGGCTGAGGGGTGCAATCTAAATAAATAAAATATCTAATGCTTAGAAACTTATGTTTAGGTGTCACCAGCAATCAGGCACAGACTGATATGACGATTTCTGGAAACATGATACAAGGTACAATATTTATATGATTTTTTTTTTCTCATAAGGGGTGCTATGTTATTATATACTAATGCAGTGTAAACTTATGTTAAGATGTCAGCAACAATCAAGAACAGACTGATACAAAGGCCTCTGGGAAAAACTCACAAGGTATGAATGGATGCTCATGAATTTGAATATCTTTTGGAAGGAGTACATTCTCACGACACATCTTATAAATGCAGTGTGTGAACTTATGTTTAGGTGTCAGAACCAGTCAGGAACAGAGTGATGCAAAGACTTCTGAAAACAACTCACAAGGTAAAATTGCCCATGAAAATGAATAATTTTTCTAAGGAGTGCATTCACTGTCTTTAGAGTGATTGAAAGCCTATTAAACAGACAACTACAGCAACTTAATTTTCAACATAGTCTATTATAGTATGAATTAAACTATGTGAATTGGTATTTTAATGTAGTTGTAAAGGATTTAATAAAGAGATATGGAGAAGGTGTGGTCTTTTCAAAGAAATGTCCAACTTGTACATATGAAGATGATAGACTTTTCTCTGCTGGTGTCCATGAGTCTGACAGTGGAAGTTTGCGTGTGTACACTGAAGAGGATGACTTTGTTTGCCCAAAATGTTCTGTTAAGTCTAATAATGCTGAAAATGCAGGCATGTACTTCATATATAATTTATGGATTTATAACTTATAATTTATATAATTTGTGTTATAATTCTTAATTTCTATAGATACAATGATGCCTCCTCCTTTGGTGGACAAAAACAAGTCAGAAGAAGAATGGKAAGGTCCTGAGGATATTTGTAAATTAGTAGAACAAACTGTTCTATATTGCAATGATCATGGTATTACTGATCCTTCTGAAATCTTACGGTACTACCAGAAAGTCATGGTCACTGGTAGGCCATTGTGTATAACAGAGTTGAACCAGCCAATTGAAGGAGATACAAACTTCATCTTGGTAGACCGCCTAAACCTACTTCAAACTGCCTTCGATGAGATCAAGTCTCTCAAAGACTTAAGACTTACATTAGAAGTGCAGTTTTATGGAGAGGTAARCATATTAGTCCTTTAAATTTAAAAAAGTCAAATCATTCTTTATTATCTAATAAATCCCTACCTTTCCCTTTTATTCCGAATAGAATTTGGATAGAACTWTATTAGATGTAAACCTTGATGGACATTAAGTCACAATATAAGACATTTAAATTAAAAATTGTATTGAAAATAAACAAAACTAAAAAAATATGTTAATAAAACACTAATATTTATATCCATATCACTTATTCAGGAAGCAGAGGATCATGGAGGCCCTCGGAGGGAYTTCTTCAGATTAGTCCTCAATGAAATATTTGATAAATATTTTGATAAAGGCTATAAACCCCACATGGTTGAGGATTACTTACTCGTTGGCATTATTCTTGGTAATTATGACTTGAATTAATCCTCTCTACTTAAACACTGTTTAGACAAAGTAATACGTGAAAATGAGTTTGACATTGTGTCAAATTCACTCCAAATAATACTCGACCTATTTTCTTTATGTTCATTATATAGCTTCTGATTTGCATTGATAATTAAGATTATGTGGAATATGCAACAAGCCTACAATGTAGTAATAAAGATATCATCCAAATCATGCTCTCATAAAATGTGACAATGTTAACTGCAGCACATCTTCATAATATCTTGATATAGGAATTCAACCACAAGTATTGATTTATTCAAACAGGATTGAGCGTTCTTCAAGATGGCAAAATCCCAAGATTTGAGGAAAAAGTTTTAAATGAAATTTTTTCAAGCAGTGTTGAGAACATTGAAAGTGATTGCATAAA